ACCTTTTTATCAAGTAGGCATGGAGGCTGCTGGGCTGGACTGTGTTTCTGTCTGCACTCCTTTTCTAAGTGCCTTTTAAACTGTCAGAGTGACTGCAGCTATTATTGCCTACACTGAGATGGATGTTTTTTTATCAGTTATACAACTTAAAACCACAAAGTCCCAGCTAGAAGAGGATAGTGATGGTACGACAACAATTATGACAACGTTCAAAAGAATCTTTGACTTATTAAACATCAAAACAGCTCAGCGAGGCATAATCAAACTAGAGAAATGTCAAGTCCTGTGAAAATGAGGTGTGGATGTTTATTGCTGAAGGATTTTAGCTGAAAGCAGCTGAAGAAGATGAAACAAAGTAGAAAATGTTTTTATCGCTGAACTATTAATGAGAGCTGAAGTTGAACAGCTGACATTTGCTGAAAGCAGGAAAATAAAAGCTGAAAGAAACTGAAAAACAGCAGAAATATGTAAAAAAAAAAAAAGGCTGAAGAGAGCAAAAATGTAGCAAAAAATTAGCAGAATAAGTTGAAATAGGAAGAGGCATACTAGATAAAAAAAAATAGCTGAAAACAAAGAAAAGTTGAAATCATTAGAAAGAAACACAAAAGGCGGAAATTAGCAAACAATGTGAAAAAATACCTAAAAAGTAGCTGAAAATAAAAAAAATGATAGCAGAAAGAAGCTGGAAAAAAAACATTTATTCAGCCTTTATTTAAACAGATAAATAGCATTGAGCCTTGAAGACTCATTTACAAGTGAGGCCTGGTTGGACAGACTATAAGTGGTGAAAGTGACAACATAGGTTTTGGAGGCAAAAAAAAATCCTATCATGCTCTTAATCTTTGGTTGAAGGTTAACAGCATGAAAAATAAAAAATAAACTTGCACACAAACACATAATGATGCCAACATTCCGTGGGGGGGCGGACGCAAGGGTGGTGAGCATGTCCAGTGACAACACACAGAGGCACTGCAAGAGTTCCAAAACGAATGGTAAGTCACTCAAGTTCCCTCTGGAGAGATCCGTACACTCTCGGGGGGTGACGAGGACGGCCGAGGACGACGTCAGATAGAATCCAAAGAGTCCTGAAATGATGACAGAACGTTTATTCAGCTGGGCCCCTCTGATTGGTCTGTAGACTTCCTTGGTGGGGGGGCATCAAGGTTTACAGAGCTTCCAGGAGAATTAATATAAGGTCAAGGCCAGTCAGGTTTCACTAATTGAAATTTGTAGTCACTGTAACACTATTTTGACTCGTGCACTGTCTTCTTTCACTTTTAGGTTACACGAGGCTCTGGACTGGTCCAGCTGTGGAGAGATGAGGTGGAACACCAGACCTGCAATGGTCCAGTCTGTAAATGATGCTCTGAAGTCTGGTAAGATGCACGACATCATGCTTCACCCAAACGAGCTCGTTACCTCGACCACATAGACTGAACTTCTTGAGGACATCGTCCAATATATAATAATGCCTTTAAACATTTTTACTTGTTATCTTGCTTGGTACATTATTTTTCTTTTTTTGTTTGTTTATTTAAACAATTTAAAACATGACAGTAATGTCACTGTTTAAAGGAAACAATTGCTCAATAAATTAGTAAAATGCAACTTGTTATGTTTGGGTTCTTTCATCTAAGGTAGACATGGTGTGACCCATGGACTGGTTTTCATTTTTTGTTTTTACTGTAACTGACCTTCAAAAGAGCCAGAAACAGGGACTCAGCAGCTGATCCTCCGTAGAAAAATGATATGGACTACAGGCCATGTATTATTTGTTTTATGATATTTAGTGAAGGTTTTTGTTTGGATTAAGGAAATAAATGTCTCTATTTCACCACAGATGAACTGTTGCTGTTGCCATATCTTTTGAAATAAAACTGCACAACACAAAGTAATTTAAACAGGAATGGGTGGAAGATCAAATCAAATTAAATATATTTTCTAAAAATTAAATAACGAGAAAAAAACAGGAGCAGGACAGGAGCAGGAGTCATGTTACCAGGAGTGGGACAGGACAGGATTTTTTTCTGTGGGACCAGGACAGGACAGGAGTGAAAATCCACTCCTGTGTCATCCTCTAGCACGAACCAAGCCATCATAAGGCAAGCAGCCTGACCAGGGCCAAATTAGCTGCAAACGACTTCCTTGAACCAGCCGAATCCAAAAAACAGGAAACCAGTTATCATAAATCCAATTTTATATGTGTCCTTAACATCCTCGATTGACATCAGAGATAAGCACGTCATCAAGTCTTCCATGTTGGTGAGATATCCAGCTACGTGCGTGCCAACAGGGCAAATCGGCTCGCCTAAAGCCTGTCTTCTCTTCAAAGAAATGTTATGAAATGTGAAATGTTATGTTTGTTTTTTCTGAGCTTGATGTTGGAAGACGTAGAGAATAAATCAAGACTCAAAATATGTTTCGTCTCTTTCTGCCGACTTCCACATTCCACATTAACATATCAGATGCTGCGCAGCTGGAAGGATTTTTACTGAAACTTTTTTTAGTTTTGGACATTTGTTATGATGTGTAACCATGGCAACAAGGCAGTTTTCTACAACCAACAGCAGCTGATTAACATCTCAAAAGCTCAAATAATATCTCAGCTACAGCCACAAATCTCAAATGATTTGAAAGGATGTTCTGTGGATGCATTCTCATCTACCTGCCAGCTGTGCTCGAGTGTCTGACCACTTAGATCCTGGAACTAGAAGGAAACACGGCTCATGACAGCGGAAGGACAGGATCGTCCCTCGTCACCTACAGTACGCGACTGAAAACTAAAGGGGACAGGGCCTTTCAGTCAGTGGACCCCAGGCTGTGGAACATTTTCCCCTGTAACTTCATTTTGCTGACTCTGTTGAGCAACGAGGAGCTCGGCAAACTGCTAGGAGGAGTGGCCATCGCTCTGGGAGGAGTTCTGCCCAGCATTCAGGCGGTCCTACAGCCCGGGGGAACCGAGGCCAGCCGAGTATGGGTGGATGGATCGGACGAAATCTGCAGCCAGTTTCTTAGGTTCCACTGTGGGATGAACCTTTACAAGAGATCCTTCCTGCCTACAGCCATCAGTATCTATAACATCTCTTAATGAAAATGAGGATAACGAGTTACAGCAACAAATAATTTCCCTTTGGGATTAATAAAGTATTTTTGAATTGAACTGAATTGAATTTTTTATCAGTTGCGTTGAGGGACCAACTGACCAAATCCATAGCTGAATTATGATTCAGAATATTTGTAGGCTCTAAAGCAGTTTCACAGACAGGACAGAGCAAAGCAAAGCAGAGAGGGAGAGGAGGGGAAGGTGTTCGCCCTTGACAACAGCAAGTGTTGAACTGATCATAACATAATCGTTAGCATAAATGCTGAAATGAGCAGCAAAATGCATAATGAAGCAGAAAAACTGTTGAAATTATATTTTTAAAAATAATTGGGGGGAAAAAAAAGAGCTAAAATTAAAAGGAAGATGCTGAACGGACCAAAAAAGTTGAAACTATTACAAAGAAACACAAAAAATGGAAATAAGCAATAATATAGGGTAGCAGAAAATTACCTAAAAAGTAGCTGAAAAACTGAAAAATGCTAAATTTAGGAGAAAAAAGCTGAAAAAGAACAAAAACATTTATATTAGCAGAAAATGATGAAAGGAGCATAAAAATATCAGGAAAAGGCTGAAATGATCAGAAAGAAGCTGAAAAAGATTGAATGAGAACAGCTGAAATCAGCAGTAAAAGGTTGTAAACAACTCAAAGGGTTTGAAGGATGTGGAGAGAGCTCCATTCATTTTCACAGAGACAAAAATGGCCGACAAAGCTAAATATTTCAGAAAGTTAAAATTGCACATATACCAAAAGTCACAGCAGAAAGATCCTGAATGAGCAGAACGTTTTGATTTCTGAATAGTTGAAATAGAACAAAATTCTGGAATGAATTATGCGCAAAACAAACGTCCTGAAGAAAAGTGGATCTGAACAATGAGGATGTTTTATAAACGTCCACACAAGTAGCAGGAAGCTCTACTGCAGCCTCTGTGAAATAGAGGGTAACTAAGTTCCTGGAGAAACTTTGACAGGGACTGCATATTTATAATTAAATTATTAATAATAATGAATATTAATACTAATAATTAATTATTAACATATTATAAATTTATTCATTATTGAAAAATATTAATATATTTAATAATTATATTAATATGAATAATTAATATTAAATCTCAAGTATTAATATTAGTAATTGTTAATGCTATTATTTATAATTATTAAAACAATTAATAATTTATGTTAATTATTTTTACTAATTAATAATAATAGGTGATAATAGGTGCCTTCCATGCATGTTGAACCAAAATGGCTCCCAACGTTACTCGGTTTCTTTGAAAAGTTTTCTCCTATTCATTTCCTATGGGAAATTTGTCATTGTCGTTAGCAAAATATGTCGCCATGGTAATGACAATTGCCAATAAAAGTAATAGCACACATCTCGGAGCCGGGCCAGTCCTTTGGATATAACTTTTGTGGGGCTCCATTTTGCGGTTTGGGCCACATTAAAGTTGAAAAAGATACTCTTTTCAGGTGTAGAATAATGTGGGCAGTCACCAACTAGTTCCTGGAGTTGGTGAAATATTGCGTCTTTGTTCGCAAATTACTTTGCCATGGTAACTTGAAATGCCAATAAAAGTAATAGCACACATCACGGGGCCGAGCCAGTCGTTTTGATATAACTTTTGTGGGGGTAGACATTGTGGTTCGGGCCGCATTAATGGAGATAGAAATGTAGACTCACTTCTGAGGTGTAGAATAATATAGGTGCCTGCCATGCATTTGCATGGCAGGCACCTATAAGTGCTGAATCATCGTTTGTTGCATTTTCACTTTTTTCATCCTCCACACTCACAGCAGTTTTTATTTCTCTTTAAGAATTACTTACCTGATCAAATTGTGCATAACAAAAAAGCTACTGTTTAGTGCATTGTCTCTGCAAACTGTCACAATCAACACTCACCTGAGGCAGGTGTTGTCAGTGAGGTGTTTCTGACTGACAGACCGGTTCTCCCATCTCAAAGATTCTGTCATTGCTCGAGCGTCCCTCACCTGCTGATCCAAGTCTGCCATCAAGAGAAAGAAAGCAAACGCTGAGCGACAAATTTCAAACATCACAGCAAGTGACATGTTGAAATGAGTAAGCTGACAGTACGGCTGAAGGCTTGGATTATCACTTGGAGTGAAAACCTTTCTGAAGGGATTTTGCTTACATCAGTTTTATTTTTGAGTCCACCCCCCAACATTTAGCTGACAGGGGTCCTACTAGGACTGCAAAGGAGTCAAAAGTCTACGGTACAATTCTGAGAACTTTCTGGAAAATGGAATAAGTTGAGAATTTTGAAATTATTCAAAATAGGAAACTTTCTAAGGGAGTTTATGAGAATTAACAAGATATTCAAGGTCTAGGTGTCTTTATTGTCATTCTCACCTCATGTGGTACATGTGGTGGGACGAAACTATGTACACAGGGTCCCAGTTACATTCAACAAAAATACAAATTGTAAAGAAAAACATTAGTAAGATCCAAGACATGAACTAAGAAATACACTAAACTAAGAATATACTAAGTAATAGTAATACAAAAACAATACGCCAAACAACAACAGCACGAACATGAGTCTGTGCTTCTGCACTTAATGCTCCACAACCTTCTGCCTGAGGGGAGCGGGGCAAAAAGTGGGTGGAATTAATAAAAACTGCTTCCTATCTGAACAAAAAATAAACATTTATAATTGTCATGGGAAAAAAAATTGCAAAACTAAATACATTTTCTTTTTATTTAAGGAATTTAGATATGAGCCTGTATATATATATATGTTCAGTTATATTACAAATATAACGGCTAGATTATCCAACAAAGTAATGGTCTGCATTCTACATTTTATATTTCTGGAAGTCGAAAGAAGGAAAAGGTTTTTTAGATTATTTTTTTAGATTGTTTAGACCATCCTAAAACCAACTTCACCATGCTCTTTATTCCTCTCAAGACTTCTGGTTTTTATCAGCGTATTGAGATCTGCTAGCTCCAACTATGTGAATAATGATTTTACTCTGGCCTTAGCTTTAGCCAGCAGTTTCAGGTGGGATTCAATGTCACCTGCTCTGGCCCCTGGAATTCATTTGACAGTGGTCTGAGTCACAAGTGCCACGTTTCAGACTATGGAGCTGCCAATAACGAGAGTCTGTTTCTCAGCGGGTGTCTCACTAAGCACGGAAAACCAATTTGAAACGTGACTGGGTCGAAGGTGAACCGGGCCTTAGTTTTAGTATGTTTACTTTGGACCGTCACCCAACCAGTCTGTGGTTCAAGACCGCTAACGGGAGCTAGCCTCAGTGGCTCAGTGCTGCCTACAGGGGCCTGGCTAGTTGATGGTTTTTCAGTTTCAGTTTTTCAAAGCCAGTCAGGTTTAACAATAGTGAGGAGTCAATTTTCCAGTTCAAACAGCCTCTCCTGCAAAGATACCATAATAATACATTTATTACATTATCATTAAAGGAAGCTGTGGAATCACTAAACATCTGACACACTGGGCAAGTGATAAAACCAGAAGCTATGGTAATAAGAGTCTAAGACAAAGCTAAGCCTCAAAGCAGTCTGCTCCTCAGATAAATAATGTTATTAAATTACTTTATATATATAAATGTTTCTGTTCAGTGCCCTGAGATGACTTCTGTTGTAACTCGGTGCTATATAAATAAACTGAATTGAATTGAATTATGCAATATCAGAAAAAGTCTGGAAACGTGTTTATTTTTTCCAGACTCTGTTGTCCCTCATTGCAAAGCATAGAGGGGGAATTGGAAATACCTTCTGTCCATCTGACTGTCCATCCGTCTGTGCATGTTGTGAGCATACCTTCAAAATTAAGTAACGTACCAATTTCTATTTTGGTGTGTGGCTGCAACTGGGTGTAAAACAGGTCACTATGAAAAAGTCAAAATCCAAGATGGCCACCACCAAATGTAAACTGACCACCCTGATCATTTGAGGAAACTATGCTTTCTAGTTTTTATTTTGCTTAAAATCATAGTTTCTAAAATGATTGGGCTGGCCGAAGATGAATATATACTGGCCAAGGCCACCACTGGCTCCTCCATTGCACATACTGGTGAGAAAAATTGCTCCTTCCACTCACCAGAAAAAAAAAAAAAAAAAACTTCCCTCTGTTCTTCTCCACAGTGTAACTCAAACCTACTTAAATATCTTCCATCAAAACCATTAAGGTTTACTTGCATTCTCTGTTCAGTTCCAGCCCAGAAAAACACTCCTCTTGAAAACTAATCATGAACTTTTTTAAACCACTCAGTGACGTGAGACATTGGCGTACCACTTGTTTTGTTTTTTTTCAAACTTATCTAAACCTGGAAGATACTGAAATAAATCTCAAACAAATGTGAGCTCTAATGCACTCGTTAGTGCACAAACATCCCACTGCGGTGCACTGACCTTCAAAAAGACTGAAGAACAATAAAAATGAACAGCCTGGATCTTATTCAATCTTTAAACAAATAATTGCAACACCAGTTTAGGTTAATCTGCATTTATACAAAGTACCAAGGATTGTCTGAGAGTTGCACCAAACGAGTGAAGGGACCCCTGGGTCAAAGTGCAAACATTTCACTGAATGCTCCTAAAATTAGTTTTTATACTACAGACAAGCTCCAATATGACCAACTCTAGAAACCAGGTAGTCCCAGTTTAACATCAATATTTAGCCTTGATATTTTATCATTTTTGCAGTTTTAACTGCAAACCATGAGGACAACATGTCAATTAGGCTATTAGAGCCTTTAGAATAACAGATTTAGATTAGCATACATTCCTGCTCTTATGTGACATGAACTTGTTTCTTGACCTTTCTGTGTGTTGTCCAGGCTCTGAAGCTCAAGCAGCAGTTTCTTCTTTTCCTCCTCTGCAGAGCTCACGTGGCTGTTTCTACACCTCATTAACTGCATTTCTGAGTTTTAGAGTGAGAAAAAAACTAATGTTGAGAAAATATCAAACATTCTGAAATGTAGATTAGACAGTTTAATAAACAGTTCAACTTTCTTTGGTAAAAGTAGTATAGAGAGATTGTTGGAATTCACCTTGAGTCAAAGATAATAAATAACATAAATTACTGTAATTTTTCATTGTTAGATTTATCCCCAGTTCATATCTAATTATAAAACATGCATTTTAAAATAGCGTTGCCAATTAAAACCCAGTGTCACAGCCACCCCTCTATGAATCGTCACCTTATTGTGGTGGAGGAGTTTGTACACCTGAATGATCCTAGGAGCTACAGTATGCTGTCAGGGGAAATTGTAAGGACTTGAAGTTGGGAGGTACCAACTAGAAACAGCTGGGTTCACCTCGATGCACAGCAAAAAGCCCCCAGTATACTCCCGCGTACATCCATACGCAGAGGTACGCACGTACGTACGCAGAGGTACGAGCGTACCCCCGCAGGGCATGTCCGTGCAAAACTCAATTTTTACAACCGCGTACGCGGTGTCGCACAATAAACTGCCCGGCGACGGACTGATTTGTATGTGACACCAATGTATTAAATTCCCCTTCTTCATCCCTGATCTGGTCTTTTCTTTAGTTTTTTGCCAAGCAAGTGATCTCTTCCTCCTCCGTTGACTCCATGACTGAAATGGTGAGAAATGAAGGAATTTGTCACGAGCGAATTAAACTCAGGACCTGTGTGGCTGCGGGAGGGTCTGGAGATTTCCTGGTGGGCTGATCTGATGTGTGGGCTGCAGGACCAGCGCTCCCTGTTTTTTTTTTTTTTTTTTTAGATCTTTTTATCAACAACATATAAACACAGAACACAGCTGCGGCTGAGACTGCCAGCTCTCTGTATTTCTTTTTTCTTGACCTGTCAATCAATCCAGTAGGCGTGTCAGCAAATGACCAATCGGCGACCTAAATTTGTCCCGAAGGTAAACGCCCCTTGTCTGTGGAGCTGCTCTGCAGACGTTCAGGCTGTACGCTCGAGTACGAAGTCTGAACCCTCTGCATACAATACGCACGTACGTACGCGTGGACGGACAGACGCGGGAGTAAACTGGGGGCTTAACTCATACTCTACTCTTGGTGCCTGTGTGTTGGAGATTTCCCCGGTAGATGAGAGGGTAGCTGCCCTGAGCAGTCGGGTGGGGAGACAGGCTCTGACGGTTGATTGTGCCTATGCACAAAACGGCAGTTCAGAGTATCCAGCCTTCTTGAAGTCCTTGGCGGGGGTTCTGGAAGATGCTCCACCTATGGACCTTTTTATTCGTCTGGGGGATTTCAAGGGCCATGTGGGTAACGATAGCGTGACTTGGAGGGGCTTGACTGGGAGGTGTGACCTTTCTAACCTGAACTTGAGAGGTGTTCTCTTGTTGGAGTTCTGTGCTAGTCATAGTTTGTCCATCACGAACACCATGTTCAAACATAAGGGTGTCCATAAGTACACGTCACCAGGACACCCTAGGTCGTAAATCTATGATTGACTTTGTAGTCATGTCATTTAATTTGTGGCCGTTTGTTTTGGACACTCGGGTGAAGAGAGGAGCTGAACTGTCAACTGAACACCACCTGGTAGTGAGTTGGATCAGATGACGGGGAAGATGACAGACAGACCCAATAGACCCAAATATGTAGTGAGGGTTTGCTGGGAACGCCTGGCAGAAGAACCCGTCATAAAGATCTTCAACTCACACCTCTGGAAGAGCTTTAACTGCATCCCTTCTGAGGCGGAGGACACTGAGACACAGTGGGCCATGGTCCGAGCCTCAGTTGTTGAAGTGGCTGCCTTGAGCTGTGGCCGCAAGGTTGTTGGAGCTTTTCACGGTGGCCATCCACAAACTCGGTGGTGGACGCCCTGAGTTAGGGAGGCTGTCAAGCTGACGAAGGAGTCCTATCAAGCCTTGTTGGATGGTGGGAGTCCGGAAGCAGCTGAGGGGAACCGGAGGGCCAAACGGATGGCAGTCTTGGCTGTTGCTGAGGCAAAAACTCAGATGTGGGAGGAGTTTGGTGAGGCCTTGGATAAAGACTTTCGATTGGCTCTGAGGAGATTCTGGCAAACCATCAGGTGACTGAGGAGGAGAAGGCAGCACTTTACCAACACTGTGTTCAATCAAGTCAAGTCAAGTCATATTTATTTATAGAGCACAATTTAAAACAGATAGACTGTTATCAAAGTGCTTAAAAGGTGGGGTGCTGTTGACCTTGGCTAGTGATGTCATCAGGAGGTGGAAGGAATACTTTTCGGACCTTCTCAATCTCACCAGAACATCTTCCATGGAGGAAGCTGAGTCGGGGGACAGACTCATGCCATGATCTTCAGCTCTCACTGGTTTGCTGCCGAGTGTGAAGCAGCTGGAATTAGAGACAGCACCTCCAAATCTGAGGCCATGGTCCTCAGTCAGAAAAGGGTGAATTTTTCTCTTCAGGTCGAGGGTGAGGTTCTGCCTCATGTGGAGGAGTTCAAGTATCCTGGGGTTTTGTTCACGAGTAAAGGAAGAATGGAGAATTGACAGACAAATTGGTTTGACATCTACAGTTTTGCGCACTCTGTGTCTGTTATGGTAAAGAGGGAGCTGAGCTGTAAGAAGAAGCTCGGTTTGAACTCTGAGTAGTGACCCAAAGAACAAGATCACAGATACAGGTGGTTGAAATGAGTTTCCTCTGCAGGGTAGTTGGACTCTCTCTTACAGATAGGGTGAGAAGTTCAGTTATCAGGGAGAGACTCGGAGTAGAACCACTGCTGGAGGAGTGGAGGAGGAGAGAGGAGACAGCTGAAGTGTTTCAGGCATCTGGTAAGGATGCTCCCTGGGCGCCTCCCTAGGGAGGTGCTCAGGGCATGTCTGACTCATGGTAGACCCCGAGGAAGACTAAGGACACGCTGGAGAGACTATGACTGTCTGTTGGCCTGGGAACACCTTAAAATCTGCCCAGAAGAGCTGGAAGAGGTGGCTGTGGGAAGAGATGTCTGGACCTCCCTGCTCAAACTGCTGCCCCTGCAACTCGACTTTGGATCAAGCAAAAGATAATGAATGAATGAGTGAATGGATGGATGGATATATTCACTAATCTATCTCTTTATTAACGTAATTTCTAAAGTCAGACTTGTTCTTCTGATTTTGTGAGAAAAATTGTTGAAAATATCAGTGATCATGGTCTGTTTATTGCCAAATGCATGATCCAATTCAGATAGTTAAGTAAATAAATTTGGTTTAAATGACCAGTCTGAGCCACATCTGCATAATACAATCCTTGTCACCTCTAATAATGGAACAAAGGGTTTATGACCTTTGAGTAAAGCTTCCACCTCCCTCTTCAGGGCCAGGAGCTCGGTGTGCGTTTGACTCTCAAACTCTGCCAGTCTGCTCTCTGGAAGACTGAAGTCACTGTTGAACACTGAGATCGCCTGAAGGAAGTTCTCTTCTTCTTCTTTCGACTCCGTCCTTATCTTGGCCTGATGTGAAAAGGACAGTTGTGTGAAATCATTATGTTCTGTTTTTATATATGTTAAAAGAATTTTTTAAAAAAACTGTTCTTTTGACATACAGTTCAACTTTTTAGATGAATAATTCATAATACTGGTTTCCTTTATCTGTAAGTAAAGTGTTTATTTTGTGTTTGGATTGTTTTTCTCCAAATCCATAAACATCATTTTACACCTAATAGGACTCTCAGACAGAGGCTGGTCCATCACAAGGACAGAACCTCTAAACCCAAACTGAGCGGTGTGGTACAGTTCAGACCTCTACATTGGAGAAACTAAACAAACTCTCCACAGCAGTCCTGATTCATAATAATCCAGGTAGAAAAATCCAACAAAGTTAAGTCAGGTCCTCTGGGTGGATTAAAGAAAAAATGTTGAAATGTTTTGTCTTTTATCCAAAAGACCGTCAGTCTGAGATGCTGCACTAAACTCTTATCTCTCTCTGTCCCAGCATAAACAGGGTAATATTGTGTGTACTGTTCAGTGCCAGGAGTAGGCCTGTCACGATAACAAATTTTGCTGGGCGATTAATTGTCTCAGAAATTATTGTGATAAATGATAATATTGTTTGAAATTTGACAATAATTAGTAATTATTGTCAAATTTAAGAAGAAATGTTGGTTAATTTGTTTTGAGTGTAGTACATTTTTTGGCCACCGGTTGGCATTATAAAACTGTTTGAACTGAAGGATGGATAGTGAGGGAGCGAGCAGCGTGTCTCTTTAAGAAAAATGGGAGGGAGGCCCCTTGACGTGACATGGGCTGTCTCTCATTCCTGTTTTTCAGTTCTCAAAATGGCGTATGCTTGTGTGGTTTGAGCTCTTTAGCATAGCATTTTTCACACAAAGCTTTAAATTAAAAAATCAGTAAACAAGTTCTCAGCTTCTTTTTACAGAAAAAAACAACTTTTTACACAAAGGCACAAGTTTCAACCGTGAATTTTGGAGCTTTGAGAAGACAAAGGTTTATTCCCGAGGTCGGCTTTTTAGCTTAGCTTCTCAGCTTAGCTGCGTTTTAACAATCCAAAATGTGATTTTGGATTGTTAAAACGGGTTTTAAAGAGAAAGGTAGGGGTCAGTGATGAGCACCAGAGTTGAGCCTTTTGTCATACAGTGTCTTCAGAAGAAAGAGAGAGACATGATAAAGCCGATAAGTGAAAATGAGGTTGATAATTTTCATTTATCATGCGATTAATTGATTTATTGTTTATGGCGACAGGCCTAGCCACGAGGGCTGTGATCAGTCTTACATCGGGGAAACTAAACAGCCACTGGCCAAAAGGATGGACCAGCACAGAAGAGCAACATCATCAGGCCAGGACTCAGTGGTCTACAGGGGAAGACATTTACCAGAGACACCAGCAGTCTCTGGGGGTTTGGTTAACAGATGTGGCTTCATTTTGATGCTCCTAGAACATTACAACCTTGATAGAGAGGAACGTTGGTTTGTGAGAGGAGTGAAGGAGGCCATCTTTGTGAAGAGAACGTGTCCATCATTAAACGGGGGTGGAGACCGCCATGTCCAACTGTCCCTCTCTTACAATGCTGTTATTGCTAGTACAGTGAACCCTCGCTATAACACGGTTCACCTTTCACGGTCTCGCTGCTTCACGGATTTGCATCGTGCATTGTGTTCTGCATTCTGATTGGCTAAACAGTCTCAGTAGTTACACTAGTTATTTGTAAGAAAACGTTTATACAGTACTTTTATTTGTTAAACAAATGCTTGGGCCTGTAAAAAGGTTCTGTTATTTGGTTTGAATGTATTATGGAGTATTTCATTGTATAATAATTGTAAAAAAAAAACAAAGGTTACTACTTCATGGATTTCGCCTATCACGGGTTCTTTTTGGAACGTAACCCCCGTGAAAAACGAGGGTTCACTGTATCACTGTGAATACGTAGCAAGCAGCCATTGGAGCACAAACAATCAGGCATTAGGTTGATGGTCCTCCTTGATCATGTGAACAGCTAGTTTTGTCTGTCAACAACAAACTGGTTGATCCACTATGAGAAGGTGCCATTTCTAAGTCTGAGTTTAGTGCAGCTCCTCAGGCTGAAGAAGTCTTTTAGATTAAAGACAAAATGTTTCAACAGTATTTTCTAACCCCTCCAGAGGACCGGATTTAACTTTGTTAGATTTTTCTATCTGGACTAGTGAGCATGCATCAGGAGATCTAAAAAAGTTAAATCTGGTCCTCTGGACATTCAAAAAAACAAAACAAAGCAAATCAACAAAAAAATGTAGAAACGTTTCGTCTCTCGTCCGAGAGACTTCTTCAGTCTGAGGTGCTGTATTCAGCTCAGTCTCTTAAATAGCACCTTCTCAGAGTGGATCAACCAGTTTTGCTGCTGACAACCAAAACCAGCTGCTCACATGCTCAAGAAGGACCATCAGCCTAACAATGGATCATTAGCACACTGATGGCTGTGTACTATTCACAGGGTGTTGAGTGATACTAGCAATCACAGCATTGTAAGAGGGGGACAATTTAACCCGGAGGCCTCCACCCCTGTTTAACAATGGACGGTTTCTTTTCACAAAGATGGCCTCCTTTACTCCTCTCTCAAACCATCGTTCCTCTCTGTCCAGGATGTGAACATCTTCATCCCTGAAAGAGTGACCACTGGCCTGGAGATGAGTGTAGACCGCAGAGTCCTGGCCTGATGATGTTGATCTTCTGTGCTGGGCCATCCTTTTGGCCAGTGGCTGTTTTGTTTCCCCGATGTAAGACTGATCACAGCCCTCCTGACACTGAACAGCATACACAACATTACTCTGTTTGTGCCGGGGGACTGGATCTTTGGGATGAACCAGTCTTTGCCGTAATGTATTTTGAGGTTTAAAAGCCACTGGGACGTTATGTTTAGAAAATAAACGTCTCAGTTTCTCTGATACTCCCTCAACATATGGAATGACCACTGGTCTGGGTCTGGGTTCTTCCTTTTCACCTGTTGGCTGACTGGAGTCCTGTTTGGGTTTCTTCTCTGCTTTCAGGAAGGCCCAGTTAGGATATCCACATTGCTCTAGAGCCTGTCTTGTGTGGGATTTCTCCTTCTGCCTGGCTCCTGAGCTAGTGGGGATGCTGTCTGCTCTGTGATACAGAGTCCTGATGACTCCTAACTTGTGCTCCAAAGGGTGATGGGAGTCAAACTGCAAATACTGGTCTGTGTGGGTGGGTTTGCGGTACACCTCAGTTTGCAAATGTCCTCTATCAGAGACTGAGACCTCACAGTCCAAGAACGCCAACTTGCCATTTTTTTCATCTTCTCGTGTGAACTTGATGTATTTATCCACAGAGTTGATGTGGTCACTAAAATGTTGAACTTCCTGAGATTTAATTTTAATTTTAAGGTTAACCACTTATGAACCTCTGAAAAGAGATCCAGGAAGTGGTTACAAGAAGAAATTGGTAGATTGCCTGAAAATTTTGGAGCAGGACAAGGCTATTGACCGTTTTCTGTACCACAGACTGTACCCAGGGGAGGCCACACCTAGTCTGTATGGTTTACCTAAAATCCACAAACAAGGTGTACCTTTAAGACCAATCGTTAGCATGATTAACTCTGTCACTTACAATGTTTCCAAATATCTGGCGTCTGTACTCATCCCTTTAGTTGGCAGCTCAGAACACCACATACAGAACACCATGGACTTTGTGGATAAGGTGAGGGATGTCATCATGGAGACTGATGAAACAATGGTCTCTTTTGATGTCACATCACTCTTTACGTGCATTCCTGTTGATGATGCAGTAGAGGTGGTCAGTTTAAGATTAAAATCAGACACCACTCTGAGCAGCAGGACCACGCTTTCCACAGAACAACTGTGTCAACTCTTGAAACTGTGCCTGCAGTCAACCTACTTCACATATGGGGAGCAATATTATAGGCAGAAACATGGGTGTGCTATGGGGTCTCCAGTTTCTCCTATTGTTGCCAACCTGTACATGGAGGAGGTAGAAAAGAGAGCCTTGACGTCCTTTTCAGGGACACCACCAAGTCATTGGTTCAGGTATGTTGACGACACCTGGGTTAAAATCAAATCTCAGGAAGTCCAACATTTTACTGACCACATCAACTCTGTGGATAAATACATCAAGTTCACACGAGAAGATGAAAAAAATGGCAAGTTGGCTTTCTTGGACTGTGAGGTCTCAGTCTCTGATAGAGGACATTTGCAAACTGAGGTGTACCGCAAACCCACCCACACAGACCAGTATTTGCAGTTTGACTCCCATCACCCTTTGGAGCACAAGTTAGGAGTCATCAGGACTCTGTATCACAGAGCAGACAGCATCCCCACTAGCTCAGGAGCCAGGCAGAAGGAGAAATCCCACACAAGACAGGCTCTAGAGCAATGTGGATATCCTAACTGGGCCTTCCTAAAAGCAGAGAAGAAACCCAAACAGGACTCCAGTCAGCCATCAGGTGAAAAGGAAGAACCCAGACCCAGACCAGTGGTCATTCCATATGTTGAGGGAGTATCAGAGAAACTGAGACGTTTATTTTCTCAACATAACGTCCCAGTGGCTTTTAAACCTCAAAATACATTACGGCAAAGACTGGTTCATCCCATAGATCCAGTCCCTCGGCACAAACAGAGTAATGTTGTGTATGCTGTTCAATGTCAGGAGGGCTGTGATCAGTCTTACATCGGGGAAACAAAACAGCCACTGGCCAAAAGGATGGCCCAGCACAGAAGAGCAACATCATCAGGCCAGGATTCTGCGGTCTACACTCATCTCCAGGCCAGCGGTCACTCTTTCAGGGATGAAGATGTGCACATCCTTGATAGAGAGGAACGATGGTTTGAGAGAGGAGTAAAGGAGGCCATCTTTGTGAAAAGAAACCGTCCATCATTAAACAGGGGTGGAGGCCTACGTGTTCAATTGTCCCCCTCTTACATTGCTGTGATTGCTAGTATCACTCAGCCCTCTGTGAATAGTAAACAGCCATCAGTGTGCTAATGATCCATTGTTAGGCTGATGGTCCTTCTTGAGCACGTGATCAGCTGGTTTTGGTTGTCAGCAGCAAAACTGGTTGATCCACTCTGAGAAGGTGCTATTTAAGAGACTGAGCTGAAAACAGCACCTCAGACTGAAGAAGTCTCTCGGACGAGAGACGAAACGTTTCTACATTTTTTTGTTGATTTGCTTTGTTTTGTTTTTTTGAATGTCCAGAGGACCAGATTTAACTTTTTTAGATTTTTCTACCTGGATTATTGAGCATGCATCAGGATATGCATCAGGAGACTTCCTCTGTTCTTCTCCACAGTGTAACTCCTACACACTAGAATATTTTGCACCAAAATCATTAGGGTTTTCTTACATTCCCTGTTCAATTCCAGTCCAGAAAAACACTCATCTCCAAAACTACAAACATTCTTTTTACAAACCCATCAGCGATGGGGGACATCAGCGAGCGTACCTCTTCTTCAGACGTTCTCATTCTGATTCTCTGCAGCAGAGCTGGTTGGGTAAACCATGCAACAAGTTGTAAATAAGTGCTGAAGAAGTTTGTGCTCTCACAAACAGGCCCTTCACATTTAGTCAAGAAACGTTGGGTCTGCAGTACATGTAGTATAGTCGAGGTGTTCATTAGCTGTGATAGATATAACTAATGAGAAGCAAACTCAGGCTCCAACTCACTAAATGCTCCCCAAGGTGGTGCTTCTGACCAAGCAGCTCCTCAATTTGTATCAACATCTGCTCCTCACATTTCTTTGTCAGATCACACTGCAGCCTCATGGTGGACAACTGTTGAGCCTGCAGCACAAACAGATGATTGGAAAGTCAGGGCCCATCATCTGACAGACACATAGGGACTAAAGTGACAGACATGGTAATCACCCCAGAGGAGGAGTGACAGGACAGCTGGCACACGCATACAGCACACCACACAAGACATGCCAGTGACTAAAGCTGCAAAAAGAAAAGCATAACTGAGTTCTGGACTTCATTTGAAACACTACGGTTTCTTTTTTATTTATTTATCAGCTCTTATAATCTCCTTGTTTAGTTCTCGCTGTCACTTTAGCCGGTGCATTTATACAGCAATGCCTTCTTGAAGAAAGAGAAGTGCCAAATTATGAAACGAGGTAACGCTTTGCCTTAGGCGTGCCTTTCAATTCAGCGCTCAGTGTCTTGCCTAAGCTTTCAGTGGTAAATAGAGTTTATTGGTTCCCATGTGGTGGAAAAGCACAGAGCATTTTCAGGGAGCAACATCAGCATCTTAAGTTTTCTAAACAGTGTAATTACAGCTTTCAGAAATTGTAAGGCTTTACACCACGAGAGCAGTAAACACACTGCAGAGGAAACACGCAGTATCTATCTGAAAGATGTAAACAATCTCTGTATTCCATCCTCAGGAAAGAAAACACGTCCCTGCTGGGTGCTTCTGTGCAGACTGTGATGTGTTTCTCTATATTCAGCACTCTATTTTAATTAAACCTGCTAATTTGCTCTTTATTTCCACTTTAACACGTTCTAGCTTTCCGAATGCTGCCTTTCATGGCACAGGTTTTGTGGGGCTCCCACCATTCAGAGGCCAATTAACTCACAATTTCTCAGCTTTTATATATATATATATATATATATATATATATATATATATGATTTCAGTTTCTATAAAGCTTTTATAGCTTTGACTGAAAGCTATAAATTGCTTTCACTGTTAAAAAAAACACTGATAAGTTTTATTTGAATGTTGCAAACATTAATTATTGTAAAGCTTCTTAGTCGTTCCATCTGTTGGAGTGCTGCCTGTTGTTTTCTTTAGTCTTTTTCATTGCAAATACAGTAGAAAGGTGAACTCTGTGCATGAAACATTTCCTTCATGTTGGATGCTACACCTGTGTATGACCTGTAGCAGTAATTATGTTAACAACCTTGAAATAAAATCAAATGTAAGAACGGATGCACACTTTGTAAATAAATCAACATCCATCTATCCATTATCTTGATCCGTGTCTTCCTTTTCAGGTCATGGGGGGTCACTGGTGTCCATATCCAGCAGTCACTGTGAGAAGTGGGGGACACCCTGTCTCCAGTCCATCACAGCACTAAATCAACTTATATCATTATTTATGCATTTCAACATATTATTTGTTAATACATAAATGTTAAATTTACTTCTATTATAAAAACAACACATAACCTTGAATTATTTCTTGCTGACGCCTGATTTAGATTCAGATAGGATTATTTTTTTTAAGTTGTCGTGTTCACGGAACAACACTGAACCTGGAAGACTCCAAAAAGCAAATATAAATTTGTATTTAGGCTAATATACTGTAACACGAGGCAGCTTACAGAAAGTATATCTTAAAGAGTACTGGAGAAACATGTTTTTATCAAACATGCTACAAGAGAAACCTGAGAAAAGTCGTCCAGATGATCTCTTAAAAAACATCTATTTTCCATTTCTCCAAGCTGCCTTAAATAATTTAACTTTGCCCTTTGGACAAAAAAACAAACATTTGCCACCCCTGCCATAGTACTTCCAACTCTGGGGCAATTAAAATAACACTAGTAGAGCTGTAACTTCTGACTTGCCTGGCTGATATTTCAGATAAAGACGTATGACATTGGCACGTTTTAGTAATTGTTTCCATTTAATTTGAATCATCTAATTGTATTTGTTTATTGGTGAAAGTGTTCTGAAGATTTGCCATTGTTTGATTATATTGTGCATGTTTGTCTGTGGCGTTAGGACTATAATATAAATGATTATCCAGCAGCATAACCTTATTAAGCATGAATATGTTGCAGTGAAACTGAGGAGAAAGATAAAACTAGCCAAGTGGGACGTGTTTGAAGCTGAAGCAGCACGACATATTAACGACATGTGTACAGGAGATAAAGAGCTGCATATTGACATCTTGATGAGCTGATTTGCCTTTTGATTTAAAACAGTCAATCCCCACCTTTCATTTAATCAGCTATTGATCCCTGAGTGTGACTGTAAAATCAATGGCTAATTTCCACCGGATAACATTAGTGAGACCTCTCAGCATGTGTGAGATATGACGTGAAAGGGAGAAGAAGCCTTCTTCCTCCGATACGTCCCTCCAAGGCTGACCGAGCATGTTTTTGTCTGTTTGTATGCACTGTTAGCAAAATATTGATGGCTGATCACACTCAAGTGACCTTCAAAACACAAAAGTTGCTAAAACTCAGTCAGTTTGACAACTTCTCAGAGAAAACTTGGTGTGGTTGTAGCTGAGGCTCATCCTCAACATATATTCTGAGCACACATCTATAAGTTGGTCATTATGCCAATAATTATTTAGAGTCTGTTAGAAAAACATCTAGTGAACCACTGGAAATAATATATTGAAACTTTCAGACAATAATGAATGGATTTTCCTCCACTGATGTTTGTATTTAGAAGTCAACTGACCCCAGAAAACAATAATCTAATATGGATCATCTTGATTTAAAACTCTGCTGGGCCTTTAATATTTGCTTAATGAACATTTATTCTGTAAAACTCACCATTTTATCCAGCTCCAGTTTTGCCTGCTCATACTTTTCAGTTGCATTCTTGATCCTCTCCTTGCATCTGATGATGGACACTTTAACTAAAGTAAATGTTAAATCATTGATAATTAAAAGTAATGAACAAGACAAGGTTAGCTTCACAAGTCATCTATAAAGCGTGGCTAATTGATGCTAATGCTGCTTGTTTAAAATGACACTACCGTCTTTGAATTTCTGTGTTTGTTCAGCCTGTTGCTGTTCAGTGAGGAGGATTTGTTGAAACAGTGAGTCTAAACTCATTTCGACTCTTTAATGGGTTACTAAAAGTCAAAGAAATGCGGAATATTATATTTCAAGCTAACTGATAGCCAGGTAGCGCACTGACTGACTGCACGCGCGCACTCTGCTCTGTCTCTGTAGGGCAAGCCAGTTTAGCATATAATAGTAGACAGGCCCAAACCAAACGCAATTAAAAGCCAAAGCTTCTTGAATGCATGTCTCCCGCCATCTTTCATGCCAGGATTTAAAACTAAAGTCACCTTATGATGAGAAATGGCAAGGTTTGAGCTGTTTTGATCAAACCAAAATATCTAGGGCGCTCAGGGAAGCAGATGGTGAGGGTTAAGAGCCTTGCTCAAGGGCCCAGAGTGGGGCAAATGTGCATGTCACCATTCCCACCCACATTTTTTGTGTTGTCAGTTTGGTGAGTTGAATCGGCAACCTACGATCACATGCTCGCTTTCTCTAACCTCTGCGCCACCGCTCCCCCTAAAAGTACAAATAACATCATTACTCATAATTACTCAAAATAGCATTTTTACTCATGCACAGTAACAACACATTGCATGGTCTTACATGATTTGTTGGCGCTTGCAGTATCATTTATTTATTTAATTAGCCTTTATTTTACCATTAACAGTTTAAAGTGTCAACCTAACCTTAGTAACAAACCAAATTAAAGCGTACAATCTGAAAAATTCAGTTCTAGCTCTTTTGTATATGGTGGAGTTGGTGATATATGGCATCCAGCTCAAATTTGTTTGACTCCAAAAGATAAACTTTCTGAAAGTTTTATTGAATCTGTCCAACTGTTCATGGGATATTTTGCTAACAGACCGACAGGGTTTACTCAAGCATCTACTGTGAATGTTTTTAGCAAAGATGTTGCACCATGTGATGCAGTCGAGGTATGAGCATCGGTAACTGTAAGATTAATTGATATAAAGTAGGTTTCATTCAGCTGCTCTCTTCTTCAGGGGTCACCACAGCGAGTGATGAAAGATTTGGCTTTTTGTTTTATGCCGGATGCCTTTCCTGACACAACATGGACTTGAACCCGCAACTTCAGGATTATAAAACCACCGCAATGACCTCCAAGCTAATAGATATCTGAACAATTAGATGTACAGTTTGATTATATGTTACAACTGCCTACCTCATCGTCAGCAATGGCATTTAAAATACCAACCAATTCTGAAATGTTGGCAAACAGGTTTTGCAAATTATTCTGTAAAATGTACTGAACTGAAAACATTTTGAGATGGCTAAAGTTTTTCAACCCATCTTGAACTGCACTGTCTCTGAAAGTTAGTCTGTTTTAGGTATTCATCCAGAAATTGTTTACTGCAAATCTTCTAAAAATATTGGAGGTCAGAAATTTTGTGACCAGACACAAAAGGTAAATTTTAAAAAATTAGTGCACAAATTTCAAGCAATGATTTTGTATATTTAGTAGCTCTAAATGCATGTATTATGCATGATGCTCAGCTACTGTCACATCAAATTGTAACCTAATATCTGTAGAATTGACTGAATTAGAGCCATGCGTGTGTATTTTAGGTTGAGTTGGCTGTGGCGGCCATCTTACATAGGTTTGCCTCTAAAAGTCAATCAAGTGTAAATGCATTCCCAGTGATTATTTAGTGAAGGATTTGATCAAATGTATATAGTAGTCCCTGAGTTATTTTGCTAACAGACATTCAACAAATTTGACTCCTATATCTATATATATGTCTATATATATATATATATATAGATATATATATATAGGAGTCAAATTTGTATATATATTTATATATAGGTAAAATTTTTAATAAATTTGTTGCACAATTTGTTAACACTCAGACTATGTGCCAGGGATAAGTCTCAGCTACTACCACACCAAATTGTAGATCAATATGTGTACAAGTGACTGAATTATAGATATGTGTGTGTGTGTGTGTGTGTG